CAATGCCACGAAGAATTGAAGCGGTATTGGAGGCAAAGGGAGGGCCAATAAATTATTAGTTAATTATAAAAAAAATTTGTATGTATATAAACTAGATTTGGAATAAATTGGTTATATATTTAAAATTGTGCTTCAAAAAAAAATCGCGCGTTACTTTTGATGCCGACTGTACATATATGTGTCGTTTTTCATACACAACAATAGAAAAAATCAAATTACACCAATAAATAGAAGGTCTATGAAGGCATATATGGCTCTTCTTTTAACAAAATATCGAAAAAAACACAAACATATATTGATAACAAGGAAAAAATCAACGAAGACAACGATTATTAATTATTTGAAGAACAAAATTGATTCTATGATTGATTCCTCAATGTTAATTTCAAATGAGTTCTCAAATCGATTATAAATACAAATTACAACGATGATGACTATGGAAAATTCTGTTATATACTATTACTCTGTATAAATTATTTTAAGTTGGTAATTTCTGATTCAGATAAAATTATCGAAAGTATGCACATAATTTTGTTATTCAAAAAAAATGCAATATAAAGCGAGTTGTTTCTTTTTTACATTCTTATTTCTTCTTTGCTTTATTATGATTTTTCTTTATTATCTATGTATTCCAATTGTGAGTGATTCAATACTACGTTTACATCTTGCAAATATTTCGAAACAATCTAACCAAGCTGTTAGTGGGCAAGTCATATTTCTAAGAAAAAAAACTTTTATTTAGAAATCAATTACTGCAGTTTTATCTTAACATTCGCAGATGAAGAAGATAACTATCATTATTATGTGTCAATAAACTGAACAATTTAATATCACAGATTGAGCATTACAAACCATTCTTTAAAATGCATACAGCGGCGAAATGAATATTCAAATTTTCTCCAAATGGGAGTACGTACTTTATGCAGCGCTGTACAGTACATGTAAATATATTATGATTCTGATTTTCTACACGATTATACAGCGAATGACAAAACATCATGAAATTTTATTTACACAATTCGCTCGGACAGACTCGTTTACAAAATTGATACATGTGCTACATCTTATTCCATTCACCAATTGGATGTCAGCAATGCATGGGAAAAATACCAAAACAATGTTCTCTTACCATCCATCACGTTAGCTTCAATTTGATTTGATATATAGTCAACTCGCTCTAAATGCACACCACCGGGAGACATATAAAAATCAAACCTGAAAGTGTATTTAGAGAATTGGTGCATTTATAGAGAGCATTTTACGTACTTAGTAATATTATTAACTTGGGACTGAACCAAGGCGTGCATTTATAGAATGATGTGCATTTAGAGGAATGTATTGTCATTTGATCACAAACGCGAATATAAAACTTAATTGCAAACTATATACGTACATGTATTTTTTCTATATCGATTTTCTTATATTTGTAAATCCTGATACGTACATGTATAGTGAAAGAGTAATTTTTTCTGACCACGTAGATTGTCTCCTATATCCAGAGCTTTCTTATAACAAATGAATTGGGCCTGAGTTAAAAAGTATGATAGTTTAGGTGAAATTTTTATTTTCAATTAGTAACTAAATGATATTCTTCATAAATATCTTATAATCGTTGTTTATAAAAAAATTTAACAATTAGCAAAAATTACCAGAATTGGTTGTCTTTCATATTTTTTCACATCTTTAATTTTTTTATGTTATTCAATTTCTTACCACAGATAAACGACTTGCACATATCATTATTATCTTATTATTTTGCTATTATTTCAAACCCATTTTATTCACGGATTAAATTTTGTATTTACTTCTTAGTAAAGATGTTTATACATTTTATAAAACACAAACGTTTGATGACTTTAGATGTTATGCACCATATAATGATAACAATAAGTAATTAAAAAATGTGTATAAAAAACTTATGATTACTTGTTACGTCTATCACTATCTTTTTTTTTGATCTAACATCAACAATATCAGGTATCGTTGGATTAGTACAGTATACTTATCGTTATCTGGAATCTTGTTATTATCAACAGAAAGAGAATCACATCAAATTTGCAACAAGCCGCGTAGTTGACACAGAGGTTTCACAACGTGAGTTTCCATGTTCAATCAGGACATGAGGGTTAACTAAAAACACTATTTATATGAATTTCCACATCATTGTTTATTTGGCATGAGCATTTCCACGAGAACTCCGCACAAGAGTACGTAATACTATGCATAACAATAAATTTTTAACGGTAATTATAATGTGGTTGGAAGAGAAAAGAACCGAATTACTCGATAGATTTGGTTCTTTTCTACTGACTTCTCCCAAATATTGAACTATTTGAATTCATCATTGCACACGTATTAATGATAGCAATAGCGATAGCGATAGTAATTTTAAAAAAGTGCAGTCAACTCTATAACGATCCTTTTTATAACGAATACACTATAACGAACTTTTCTGTAAAAATTTGTTATAAGTCCGTTATAAAAACATAGCAATTTGCTCTATAACGAACTTTTGAAAATTTTTTACTATTGGAACCGTTTAGTTCGGTATAGAGAGAGTTGAATGTATTTATTTGAATACTGCACTCAACAATGTAATTTCCAAAACTAATCATTTTAATTTATTCAAAGCCACATTACTATCGATACGTACTCCTGCATGATACATTGCATCGGCAAAAATTGTACTTACGTATGCTGAAGCTTCTTGTTATTTAAACAAAACAATTTTACTTTTATTGCTTTGTACAGTCAAATCATTTATTATCGTTATATTTAAATTAAATTTCTTGTCAAAACTTTTCCTTCAAAGCTAATTTACAAAAGAACAAAATGAAAAGTCATTTATATTGCATTTTGTTGTATTATTTTTTGCTGTTGAACATCGCGCAAGATCAAGGTAAAAAGTTTTTTGTTTATTAAAATATTTAATTAAAATAGCCATTGTTTCTTTAGCGATACCTAACCCCGCACTCCAAGAACGAACTACTTCATGTGCTCTTATACGCTGTTCTGCCGGTTTTCAATGCGTTGATGACGAATGCGGTAATGGAAGTTGTGTTCCAAATGTAAAACTTACTGCACGTGGGGAGGAAAAAAAATGCATTCTTAAAGGTTGCAGGTATGCTTGTGTCCAGGGCACAACGTGTTTTAACGGAAAATGTGTGTTGATGAAAAAAACTCAGGTTGAGAGTGGATGAAAGAAGGCGAATAGGTAAAAGACAAAGTAGTGAGGAAGCGGAATCACAATATCACTAGATACTTGACTTAATGAATCATGTAAATTCTTCTTCATTTCAGTTGTAAGAATTGTTCTGATTGTCGCTATATTTCTTTTAGGTGATTTAGTTTTATTTTCTTTTATTTCGAGATTGTGTATTATGTTCTTTTGAAATATAATAAAGAAATATCGTTCTTAGTTAAGAGATTGATCAATACATTCGTTTGAACAAGAGTTTGATTTTTACGATTTTGATTCTGTCACAAATGAAAAATTTACATGATTTTTTATTCCAGCTTAGGAACTAATAATATGAAGAACAAAATTAATGAGATACTTTTTTAGAACTATAGCATTTGATTGACTCTTACAAAACCCTAACCCTAATCCTAATCTTATCAACTCGGCTAATCAAAAAAGTATGGGTCGACCCACAAACCCGACGATTTGGGCTGGGATCGGCCTGTGTCACTTAGGGTTGTTAACAGAGTGGTGTGAATTGAATTGGGTTCATATTATAATGGAGCAAGTGGTCAATCAAATTCAACCCACTCTGGGTTCATTTCTTCTGGTTTTGCTCCAATACTGCGCCAGATACTCCGGAGTATTTATAAGTCAAATGTAATTAATTTGATTGGATAAAGTTATATATAAAATATTTTTATTAATAAACAAGCTTCATTCTCGTATTTCAAATAAAAAAGATAAAAAATTTATAAATCAAATTTATGCTTCTAAAAAAATAGAAGTTCAATATCGATTTCTTTTATATTTTTGTTACGTACTTGCTAAATACAACTTTTTAAACAAATTACTACACGTGTTGTATCTGGTTTTAAGTTGCATCGAATTTTGCCATAGGTCTGTTCCGAGGGTACACTTGAACCTTATATACTTAAGTAACAGGATGCTATACTTGCAAGAACAGGGCAATCTACCTTAAAATGGTACCACAAATCTAACGGATCTGAGTCAGAGTAAATTGGTACTGCGATGTATCGAGCAATTTCATCTTCAGTAGATATTTCTTTGACAGTTTGCTACATAAAAAGTGATTCAAAAAAAATCGTTTGTTGTCTCGAATTGTAAATTTATAGGAATAATTGTTGCATTTTGGCTTAGAGATGTGTCACTTTATTAAAATTGTATTAGCTTTTGCAATAACATTATAGCCTTGTTACATTAATCAGTATCCACAAAAGTTTTAGTTTTTGAATGTATATAGCGATAGTACCAATATTCTTCAATTTTAAATTTAATGGAATCTGCAATCATATATTCTTCTAAATTAACATGATCTTGAATAAAAGAATCTAAATGCCAATGCAAACCAATAATAGTAAATCCTATATTGCTTATTGTAGATTATATAAAGATTATAATACTTTAATTACAATAAAATTAGTTCAAGTAGTTGAATTATCTTATTAATCTTTGACTAATTATCTGCTTGTAAATAAATACTAGTAAGATTTTGATTTTCAGCAACAAGAATATCTAGAATATTTTAAAATCAGATTAAATCTAAAAAATCTGAAAAAAATATTTATTAGTAAAATTGAAAACTTTTATATAAAGAGAAAAACTCGTATTTTTCATATTTTTACTATATTTTATTAATAAATTTGTTTTAGTGTTCTATTCTTTTTGATTGCTACTATATATATTATATTTTCTTATTATTTAAAAATAGATAATAAATAAATCATTAACAAATTTCAAATATTAATATAAACTAATATTTAATTGATAATAATATAATAATATTATCTTTTTATAATATTTTATATTATTTTATTTATTTATATTTATAATAAATGATGAAAAAATCTAATTGTTAATCAATTAAATTATTATCTATTTATTTTTTTATTATATTTTTTATAAAAGAATACTTATTTTCTTAATTTATTTATTTTTATTATTATTTTTCTTGCATATGCAAAAATTTTGAGTAAATAAAAACTATTATTTTGATTAATTTTCTAATTTAATTTGTTAAAATATTGAATTTAAATATTACTTAAATTATTTAATGAATATTTTCTATTATATATAATAAAACTTTCTTATTTTTAATTTTATTTTATAAAAAAAATAAAATACTATATATAATAATTTATAAAATAATTCTTATATTAATACAATTTTATTAAGGATTTTTTATTAAAAATATTTATATATAAAATAAAATCTTATTTATTTATACTTTACTTTTAAATTTATTATTTCTAAATTTAATAATAATTATTATAGCTGACTAAAATTATATATTTGAATTAATTAATTTATATAATATTTTATAATAAGTATAAATAAGTTTATAATTTTTATTATCTTGTATTTTTTATTTTATTTTAATATTTCTTTAATAAAGCTCAAGAATTATATAGAGAAATATATTATAATATATTTTGTTTTTTATTAATACTATTATAAATAGAATATTCTATACTATAATTATTTTTTTATTATATTAAACAATTTTAACTATTTAATTTAATTTATTTAATTAATATTCTTATTGAATGAATTCAAAATTATATGTAGTTTAAATATATAATTTTAATATATAATTTTAATATATAATTTTGTATATGACTTTTTATTTGCATTATAATTTCTATAATTTTTATTATAATTCATTATTATTATAATTATTATTATTATTATTATAATTATTATTATTGTTATAATTATTTTTTTATTGCTGAAGTGTAGTCTTGTTTACTATTACTATTATAATTATTATTTGAAATGCTGCAGTGTAGTCCTACTTAAATTGTTAACTAATCTAAAATACAAGATAAATTAATAACTAGTTATGATACAATTAAGCCTTCAAGGAAAACAAAAATGTAAAACTACAAAGTGACTAGCCACTGTGACCAGTCCAGAATTAGACTATGGCTGATTTAATAATGAGGATATCTGAATTATTTTTAATTGCATATGATTTGATAAAGCTAAAATGCTATGCAGTTTAATGAGATCCTCTTTAGGCAAATATCATTGTTATGTGCTGAGGTCAGAAAGTCACAAGAGCATAAATTAGGATCAGAGTGAATTTTGATGATGATATTATAAGGTTGTTGTGAAGTAGAATTTGAAGGTCATCCTGTTCATTTTGTGAATTGTGATTTTTTTTGTTTTGGTGTAATGACAAATTATTTTTTGAGTTGTATTTGTTTTAGACATCGTTTGTTTCAAATATGTGTGCATCCTTCTTCTACAAGCCAGGAGATGAAGTTAGAGATTATAATTGTTGCTGTTTTCTGAATTAGAGAGGTATGATTTAGAATGAATTTGATCAATTTGATAGGAATGAGACCTTTAAAGAGTTCAATGTATCCTGGGATTATGGGTAAAATTAAAGAATTATAAAGAAATTTGAAAAAATGTACGATTCTACAAAAGTTGAATATGGTATTTTTGAGATTATGAAAGTTAAAGTTTGTAAGGAAGAAAAATGGCAATTAATCAGATTGTAAAGTTTGGTAGATGCATTTTGAAAGATTGTTGAAATGGCAATTTTTGAAAAGGGACATGTTCAAATGTGATCAGTAGTTTTCTCGCAGCTGAAGCATCTTGAACATAGATTATTAGAATAAAATTGTGACCAAAATTTGTGAAGATTGATGAATGTGAGCAATAAATTGTGTGTGCTTTTTAGGCAAAAACTGCAAAAGATCAATTTGAGTAAAAATGCATGCATGAAGTGAATGTCCTGATCTCGATTTCATGTGAGATAGATGGCGTTTCAGTCAATTATATCAGCAAACCCTTTGTTTAACAAGGGATAAATATTTGAGAAAAATTGTCAAAGAAATTTGAATGAAATACGATTTTGAGTTTTGAGAGTTTTTCTAATATTGTTGATAATTGGAATTGAGTGATTAAAAATTGGATAGAAATTGATATTTGGTAATTTGTTGAAATTAATAGAGAAAAAAGAGGCGTGACATGCAGATTTTGCTAGAGTGTCTGCAAGTTCATTTCCAGGATTTTTTGAGTGTCCTTTTACTTTGATAAGAATGATATTTAGTTTGTTGTTAGTTATGAAGTCATTAATAATTTTCTAATATGGCCAGTTGGTATTTTGAAGAATCTTTCTGCTATTAAGACTATTTCTGTTAATGATATTTGTATTAAAATTCTGTATGGTAGATAAAGAGTCTGTGTGTATAGTTACTGTTGTATATGGACTAAGATTTTTTATAAGCATACATAATGCAGCAATTTCAGTAAATGTGATAGAGATATATTGTGATAAGGCATCAATTTAATTGATATCAGGTGATCATGTTGTCCAGACAGAACTATATCTGATGAAGTTTGTATTCATTTGTTGGATAAAGTCATCAGTATAGATGATTAAAGAAAATTTGTTGGTTAGTTGATTTTGTATGTGAGTTCAGGTGTGAATATTATTGTTGGTGATGAATAATTTAGTATTGTATATGGAGGTAAGTGAAGGTTTGTAATAGTTTTTTCCTGGTATCCAGAATGTGTTAATAATTTGATGGGATGAAGTAGAAGCATTTAGTGTTTTTTTTTCGAGAAGTGCAAATCACTATGATTTGGATCCATGTCTAGTTTGACAGAAACGTAACTTATATTGTTTCTATGTGATAAGTTGTATATTGTTGTATTTGGTTAATTGTAATAAAGTGAGTACGTGATCATGTCTTAGGATATTTCTGCATTTGGCGTATATGGATCACAGACCCAAGATATTTTCAAGTGATCATTTGAAATGATTATTAAGTTATGTGAGAGTATTGATTATTGTATGATGTGTGGAATAGAGTGTGAGAGATCTTTCTGCTAGAAGTGGTAATATATTTGCAATAAGATTTTTTCTGATTAGTGATTGTTCTAGAGTTAGATGTTGCAAAATAGAGATGTAACTCCATCATTGTTCCTGAAGAGCCTGTAGACAAATGTGAGTTACTTGATCAAGAGTGGTTAGATTGTTGAGTCTATAGAAAAGTTCATTGATTTTGCTTCTGAATTGAATATGATAGATATGATCTAG